AAAAGAAATTAGTGGCAGCAATCAAGGAATAGAATAGTATGTTTTACTATTATCCTCAACTGAATTAAAACAATCTTTAAGATGTTAGGAGTTAGCCACTTATTTTTAGTTGAAAAGAGATACTTTAAAAGTATAAATAATTAATATTCCAGCTATTTTCCTTTAAAACATACCCTAATATTTCCAGGTTATTGATAATGTTTTCAAATAATATTATGCATGTGTGTGATTTAAATAAGTTAAAATGAGTAAGTCCTCAATAGGAACAATGAAACAAACATTCCTTAAGCTAAACATATGGGAAGGTTTCTCTAAAGCTAAGTGAAACCTCATTACTATATGTTTCTCCTTTATTTTCTTTTCTTGTGGAGATCCTTTTTCCCCTCTGAGACAGGTTTATATAGCTCAGGCTAACTTTGAACTGGGATCTTCCCAATGCTAAGATTGTAAGTGTGTACCACCAAACCTAGTTTCTTTTTTTAACTTCCTTTTTATTTATTCTTTGTGTCTTTCACATCACGCCTCCCGATTGTACCCATCCACCTGCCATAAAACAAAATAACATTTAAAAGAAAAAAAGGAAGAAAGGCAAAATCTCATTATAGAAGCTGTAGTGTGATACAGTGAGTCCCACAATAAACCCCTTTATCCATACATTTTTTACATGCAGGCATCCATTCCAAAGAATCCTTGGTCTAGTTTGAGGCCCCTGATCTCTGCTACACCATCTATGCTGGGTCCTCACTGGGACTCTTCCTGGACATCCTGTTGATGCCCTATGTCATGGAGATTCTGCAGCCCTGGGTCACAGGACTGACCACCCCTCTTCATGTTCCAGCAGATCACAGATGGGGTGGCCGTTGTGATAGGCCAACACATAATCTTGATTCTGGACCTTCGTAGTTGCAGGGTTGGTCAGCCAGCCAGCTCTTCTCTACTACCAGGGTGAGTTCTCCAGCATTGTTCTGGCTAGTTCAGCCCTTGAGGCAATGAGCAAGAGGCGGGGCCATTTCTACTGCTTTTACATCCTCAGGGTAGGTTCTCCCACACATATACCTTAAGGGCCAGCTCTACTGTGTAGCCTAAGTGAGGTATAGGGGCCATTCTCCTGAGTGCTACAGCTGATAAGGATGATAAGCTGATAAGTAACAGCTCTCCTGCTCTTATGACCTCAGGGCCAGCTCTTACAACTGCCTAAGACATTGACGGGCTAGTGTGGGTGGGGAGAGCATTTCTCCCCCACCAGCACCACTGCATGATAGATGAGTAGTGAGGACAGTTCTCTCACATACACAACTTTGGGGCTGCTTCACCCACACCTCTGCAGAATGTTTTACCCAGGCAAGGTACAGGACCTGCTCCTGAGTATTGAAGCTGGTAGGGGGGCAAACCTAGTTTCTTATATATATTAACAAACTTTCACAGGTTTTAAAAGGTTAAGCCTGAAAATCAGGGGAAATGAAAAGCTATGGCAATCAAATAAATAATATTTAAAATAAATACAAATAAACTCATTGTAAAACAGACTAGGTATAAACAGAGTTATTAAATTGGGCAAGTACTTATGCTTCTACAAATCTGTTATAAGCATTTTAATGGAGTCCATTTGATGAAGAGCTCCAGAAAACAATGTGGTGACATTTATTGAGATCTTCTATAAGTTAAGCACATCACAAGCATTAGTTTAAAAATAAAAGCCATCTACAACAGATTTTAACCAGTGAGACTGTCATTATATATGTGAGAAAAACACTGGGAATAAAGTATGGATTCAAAGTCTGAACACTTAACCATAACCTGTATGTATATGAAAAGTGGCAGGTAAAAAGTATTTTCAAGCCAAAAAGAAATGCTTGACAGTTCAAATCTTTATTTTTTTGATGGACCATCAGTACCTAGTTCATAATGAAGCCTCAAGATACAGCTCTTTGATATATAATGAAGTTTGCATTGTTCCTAAAAAGCATTTTAGGATCTAGGAAAGTATCAATGACTATGATGACAATGGCACTCCTTAAGAGGACGAACAAGTGAAGGGCAAACTGAGATTTCTTGTGACAGTGGACATAACTGAGCTTCAAATGATCATAAAGACATGTAGAATGATAATATTCACATTATGTAAAAATGAACAGGAAAACAAAGGACGCTAAATAACATCATACATGAAGGTTTACCATAGCTATACAAACCCAAACCTTTTCTACTTGGTTTCTCTTATTTTGGATTCATAATTTACTAAAATGCTATGAAATACATGTCACTAACAATGTTTCTTAAATCCAATCCCTTTTTTTCCCAATTTTCTGACGTAATTTTCTGTGTACTTCCCTTAAAGTATACTCACAGTAAACCTCTAATGGGGGCTGTGGATAGGTAAAGTCCAGAAGCTCTGTCAAGTGTTTTCCATTATTGCTCTAGGTCTCGATTTCTTACAAACAGGGCCATTCACTGAACCTGGAGCTTAATGGGTTCGTAAGACTAGCTGAGCAGCAAGTTCCCGGGATCTTCCTCTCTGCCTCCATAGCACTAGTGTCACAGGCACATGATCCACATCCGACTTTTTACTAGTTTTCTGGGGAATCCCAACTCAGCTTTATTTAAAGACCAACAAAAATTTGTCTTTCATTCAATACATATGCATAAATATTGATTCTTTTAACACAATAATGTTACAAATGCTATTTTCTTACTACTTATTTCACTTCATTTTGAGATATGGTTTTTTGCATATTAAATATTGCTCAGAAAATTCATAATTATTGTATCACATCTCACAACATGAATATATCAAAATTTATCTAACAATTCCTCATTAGATTTGTTATTATTCTTATAATCAGAACAAAATAAAAATATTCTTACAAATTTGTATATTTTTTATACTCGAAGAACATGTCTAGTAGGAGGATAATCTGCCACATATTAACAGATTTTAAACCTACAAATATTTTTGCATCATATTTGTTATATCTAGTATTTAGTTTGGTGTTGAGCCAGTATTTACCTTTTTGTGGAAGCTGTTTTGTAAACATTAATAGTTTGCTTATAATAGATGCATGTATACTCATCTTATGCTTCACCAAATACACATTTAGAAATAAAAATATGATGTACAGTAATAAAAACAAACATCTATACTTACATGGATTATTGGTTCTTTTATGTTACAAGATATGAAGCATCACTAACATGTAATCAGAGTCCCGCATTGCTTCTCTTTCTATTACTCTGTTGATGTAATTGCTTTTATTTTCTAGTGTTTTGCTTTGGAATGAAATTCATATATACGAGGTAGAATGTTTATTAAAACTTTGCATCTATTTAGAAATGCTGAAAATTTCAAAAATGAACCAGCGACAGGAATTTTTAGAGTTTCAAATCAGTGAAACGTTTTCCGTTTCTTTTATAATCCCGAGTCCCTTGCTATGTTTCCACGAAACTATACAACCCTGTCATTTTCATCAGTTAGGTGGAAATAAGACATTTAAAACACCTTGAATGTAGTAAAATAATATTCTGTTATGAATTAAAAATACATGACTAGTAAGAACAATTAAATTCCTTCCATTTTTGTCTGTATTATTCATATTATTCAATCAATAATTCTTAAATATATAATACATAAATATCTGAATGACATGCTAAACTGTATTATTCAAAAGTTAAATAGTAACTATTACTGCTCAATAAGTTTCTTCCAGAGATAGGTTTCTAAGTTACATTAAATCATTACTACGTTATGATAGTCCCCCAAATATTCAATTATTTCTATACTATATACAAAGTAAATGATGCATATATTTCAAAATAAATCTTACAGTACTACCTTGGCAATTAGTGTATATATATTATTTTTTAAAAAATTCAGGAAACTTCCCAAATATTCTAAACTTGTATTATTCATTTATTATTAATTTTCCTTAAATATATTCTTATATTATCCTTTCAAAAAGAAACAAAAAAGTTTATGATTATTTGTTCTTAATAGAAAAGTTGCCATCAAGCATTCAATTGGATTATTTATTTGCATTCATCTTAATTACATTATCACAGGAGTTTGTATTTAGAATTACCATCTACAATAATATTTTGAAAATAAACTATATTAATCATCTCTCTGATCTAAAATTCTCCAATTCTTTTATATATGTAACCAAGTTAACTAGTTTATAAAACACAGTTATAACCCGAAATTATGCATTAAATAACTTCATAAAATACAAAATTGTTGAAAAAGTAATCTCTAACATACTTCTGAATGTTTATCTGTCATTTTACAAATTTTCACTTTTCTTAACACAGGAAAATAGTGCAAGAAAAAAAAAGCTATAATAACTACATAGATGGAGATCACAGACTTCAGAATCCAGTGACCATATCTCTAACATATAAATATATGCTTTAAAATTTTCTCTGGGCAAAGATTGTATGAGTAAGATAGTTTCCAAAATCTAAGGCAGTCGTGCACAACATTAGAATGTGGCAACCTTTCACTTTAATCTTAAGGAAAACATTACCTCTGTCATCATTTATATCATCAGATGTTAACCTATTAACTGCATAAAGCAGGTTTTTTTTTTTTAAATCAAATATAGGTTTCCATTGGTAATGAATATAGTACTATCTTAATACAAAGGAGATGTATTTCCTCTCCAAGAGCTAAAACAATAAGTGGTATTTGAACTGCTGGCTGAAAGGTAGAGGCACTGGTAATCATTATTTCCCCTTGTTTGTTCAGGCCCTTCCAACAAAACAAACAACCTTTTTGTGATTGGATTGACATGGTGTTAACAATGCATTTAATGCCCAAATCAGTGTGAATACAGGTAAAGCCCTCACTAATACCAGTACCAGGATGTTAAAGCCACCTATTTTCTAAGCAGCCAAAAGGGAAAAAAAAAGCTTCTCCTCCTTTGGCAAACAAGGCAATGAGCTAGTATCCACCAGCACACATCCTACAATCACCTTCTAGCTTAGTGTGAACACTCATCTCCTACCTGCGGTCCTTTCAGCAATTTCAGCTTCTGCCGCTTTCTCGTGGAGTTCCAACTTAAGCTTTAATTTTCTCTTTTCTTTATCTTCTTTAGTCAATTTTTCTTGAAGCTAAAACAAATTAGAAAAAAATCATTCTTCTCTGATTAATTTTTCATATATAATTAATTCCAAAGCAAGATTTTTGTTGTTCTTAAATGCTTACATTAGATTTCATTGCTTAAATACAATGACTCTCAAGAGAAAAAGTTAAGGTTGCAATATACTGTCTAAGTAGTTAACTACCTGAAATGATATAAAAAAATGGAAAAGTTTTAATCCATATATATATATATATATATATATATATATATATACATACATATATGTATGCATGCATATAGACATAAAACAGGAACAGTATTACTAAAAATACCTACTACAGAAGCCGTTTCATTCATTCCTATGTCTTAAAGCAAAGGATTCTAAAGGGTTCTACTGAACCCAAAATAATGGACAGCAGTTTTATGCTTCTCTTAGTAATTCCAATATTTTGAAAAACTTCATTAGGACTATAATCTTAATATCTGATACAAATCTGACTGTGACTACTCATGTTATTTGATTTAAATTGGCACATCATCTGATTTAAAATTGGCATGTCATAAGTGCTAAATCAAAGAATGGAAAATATCTCATGGTCATATAGAATGCTTTCTTTTATTTATTTTTTCCATTCTTCTCTTCTTGATCTCTGTGTTGTTTTCCTCCAGAAACAACATTCGTGCTTCAGTCTGATTAGGTCAAACAATGAAAATATTAAAATCAGAAAACTAAATAGAATTTTCAAAAGAACCAATAGAAAGTGAACATTATTTAAAAAATTATTTGCATACCAGAGGAATGTCAAATAAGAACCAGAGGAAACAAAACATGACATGTACATTGAGCTTGATGCATGTAATAGCATAATAGGATACAAGACACATATCATTTGCAACTTTGACGTTTGGTTACATACATTACTGAAGTGACAGAATACATAGACACTAATAAAAATGAAGAAAAATTAACAAAGTAGCATGAAACTATCTACTAATATAACCCATATTCCATAACGATGAAGCCAAGTTTTACTACAGTGAATTGAATATTTGCTTTACAGCAACATAAATTACCAGAGCTTTAAGAAAAATGGGTGATATTACAGAAACCAAAAAAAGGTTGTTTTCATAGCCAAACTCTTAATTGAACCATACCTGGGAGCAGGAAAACATAAACCTACTGTTGAGGCATAAAAACACAAAATAAAACTGAGTAATAGGGGACAGCAGAGAAAACTGAAATATTCAACAGCTAAGACACTGTTTACAGCAATTAGACTTTTATATTTCTATACCTTTTTATTGCTTGTTCTGAGAATTTCCAATTCTTTTTGAAGACAGTCTACTGTTATCTCTTTATTTAAGTCTGGGGAAACTTGATGAGGAGTTCCAGATTCATAATTCATATCATTCTTTTCACATTCCATAATACTATAATAAAGAGAATTATTAAATAATTTATATATAGGATTTCACAAATGACATAAATTTCTTATTAACAACAAATGTGCAAAGATATTTAAGCTTAAACTTTTTATGAAGTTACAAAGTTTATGGCTATAAACACTAACTATATCAACTTACAAATATACCAATTTATCAGTGGGGAAAATTAAGTTTGTAGAAAGCACATAGTGATCCCAAAGAGACTCTGGTAAAGTATACTTACAAAAGGGTTCAGGTTTTAGAAGCTATAAATGTTTTGATTTGTAGTTCTAGTTATGATAAACATATTTTTTGCTTTCCTGAAGATGGAAACAACCATTTTCCCAATTTTATTAAAACAGTATCATATAATATTTTAATTATTAAATGGAAGATATTAAAATTAATATCTATTCCCCAAAATATACTCTACATGACAGTTGACAATGGTATCAATCTGTAAACAGGTAGTATAAAGAAGAGATGAGAACAAAATGGATGGTTTTCTGGTGTTATGGTATTAAGTATGTAAACACTAATTGATGAAAGTGTTACTTAAGCCAGTTTTTGGCACTGAGTCCTGGGATAGTCAATGAGTACAGGGCTATAAGCATGTGCTCATAACGACATATACTAAGATCTCATGGCAGGAATGTAAGCTCCAACATTTATCTTTTCTTACATGTTTACAACAATGTTCATAAATTCTTCCATTATCCTTGCCTCTGTGCCTTAAAATAGTATTTAAGCAAGAATCAGACACTATAGAAGAAGAACACCAATACAGTTGATTTTGCTGTGTATTGATATCAATGAATATATTTTACTGAGTAATTAAGAACAGAATAGCAGCCCCACAAAAATTGTTTTTTCTTTTTCTTTTTTGGTTTTTTGAGACAGAGTTTCTCTGTGTAACACAGACATCTACCTGCCTCTGCCTCCCAAGTGCTGGGATTAAAGATGTGCACCACCAGCACCCAGCCCCCCAAAATCTTAAAATTATTGATCCAGAAAAATAAGAAAACAGAATTATGCTATCATTTTAAAATCTAATGTTATCTTTACTGCACATGATTATCAAAGTAGCATAATCCCACTGATGATAAACATAGGTATTAGACTCAAATTTCTTCAAATTGGATGACTTAATGCTGCAGAATGTAAATTAATAAGAAAGGCAAAAGGTGGATAGAGTATAGGGTCACTCAAAGTACTCAAAATTCATTGCTTTCTTTAAACACATCTTGTGTTGCTGCTCTCAGCTACATTATATCAATATCATGAAAGCAATAGAAAGTCCTTGCAGGGTCCTGATATTGCTTTTATGCTACTGAAACATTAAATTTATTTGACACCATAATGAAGATGAGGGACAATGTATTAAAGTAGAAACATTGTTCCAACTCTTTCCTTTTAGATTAAACACTAAAACCAACACGCACCTGCACTTTGTTGATGCCCCTTCATCTGGATAAGGACCAATGGCCTGTAAATTGCTGGAGTTATTCCCTGGTAGTTTAAGGTCCTCAGATGTGACTTCCTTGTCTAATAGATGCATGTTTTCCTCAGAATTCATAGTCAGCTGCTCATCTACTGCTGCACTCTCACTTCCTACTGAAGCCCCTTGTACAAGACAAATGGCTGTGTTTGCACTAAAACAAAAATATATGATACATAAAAGGACATAGCCACATATAAAAAAATGTTGAATCAAATGAACATTCTTATGAAAACATCCTCATAACTTTTTACACAGTTACTCTACTGTAGTTGATTAAGTATGTTTAGGCCAGTATTTGTCATCCACATTTTCAGTTCCCTGAATAGAAGCTGTTTAGAGTAATAGCTTACAAATCAGGTTATATGCAGCAATGTTGGCAGAACAGGCCATACCTGTCCAATGGAATCAAAGGCTCTGGGAGTGGGATCAGCTCCTATATTTTTACTTTGCCTAAATGATTACAATTGCTTCGAGGACCACTGGTCTAAACACACTATTATCAACGTAGCAAGCAATAAGGATATGACTATAATGAATCAATAGAACTATGGCTCAGACTACCTATGGGAACATTACAATCTTAATAAGGTGTATAATGCTGTACAAGTTATTTAATACAACATTTCCTGTTTATAAAATGTAAATAAAATATCAATGACTTAACTAAGTACCTTACATACCAGTAAATGATTTATTTCAGTAACATCATCATAATACTAAAATGGATGTAAAAATAATCTTAACATTAATGTTATCAAATGCATACAATATATTATAAAGTATACTTTGTATGCTTAATTATATCACAAAAATGATTTAATTTGCATGCACTAAGAAACATATATTTTAAAGAGATAAACGATATTTAGTGGCATAGACGTCTCAGAGGAAATCATATATACAAAATCAACTCTGTTATTACTAAGATTAAAAAGCACAACTACTGATTATAACATGTACTTCATTAACTCTGGAAGAAATAATTCTTCAGCCTTAAAAAGGACTGTTGGTGATACACTAGGAAATCTGCCAACACAAAATCCTTTTGAGACACAAAAGTAATATTAAAATACAAAGAAAATAGTATACAAGAAAGAAAGTAACTCTCACAAAGCTTCATTCAATTTTTTATTTGTATTAACTGTGAATAATAAAAACTTCAAGTCCACATATTACTCATATTGGTAAATGGAAGTTATTTCACAAATCACTTACTTCTGTTAAATTATTTTGATTTCACTTTATTGAGGAAATGATTTAGAAGAGAGAAACATTGTATGATAAATGCATACTGTGAAATAACCTTGACATTTCAACATAATATTATCCTGAAATCTATATTTAAAGATTAGTGGTTGATTTTTGAGATCTGAAAACTCTTTCATGGTTTGCTTTGTGTGTTCATTCACCATTTTGTTTTCCTAGAATATCTGGCATAAGAATGGAATCATCAAACTCTAAATGAGACAATTCTAAAGGCACCAAGGAGACTTTTTATCAGTAGTAGATTATGCTTTATAACATGAATATATATCTCTATAAGAAACTCAAATGGAAAGTATTTACAGTTACTAAAATCATTACATAAGTAATAAAAACTACCTCCAGAGACATTTCATTATAGAATCTATGCTGTTCTGCCAAAGGGGTAGGATAAGCCAGGAGAAACGCAAAGGCCCAGATATCTGTGACAGTAACACACCAACCATGTTAGATTCTTAAGTTCTGGCCTGTTAAGACGAATTATACCACTGTCTACAACTTGGTCCAGTTATCTACTTATGTATTTCTAGATCTAATTCAGCATCTTTTTCCATTCAAAGTTTTATTCCTAATTTTCTGTTTTTGTTGTTGTTTAAAAAAAAAAAAACATCTCTGATAGCTAGGTTGCTATTTGCTGCTACATTTATAACTTTTTTTGCTGGTTTAATCTATCAAATTATAAGATCCCTTGAATTCTTCATAAATCACCAGTACTGCACTGTGACCATCCTCCATTCCAAACTTCTAGAAAAGATATAGAAGGTTCCAAGTAAGGGAGGATTTTGTTTCTTCCCAGATCTTAGTAGTTAGGATATTTTGAAGCAATAGTAAAATAAAATGCATATGTTTCTGACACTTCTTTTTAATTCTTTTAAAAGTTTTGTTTTATTTTATGTGTGTAGATGTTTTGCCTGTATGTATGTCTTTCACCATTTGAATGGTGCCCATAAAAGTCAAAAGAGGGCGTTGGACCCACTGCAACTGAGTTGCAGTTGTGAGCCACTATGTGGGTGCTGGGAATTGAACCCTGGGAACCTTGGAAAGCAGCCAACCAGCCTCCATTTCTGAGACTTCTTAATTTTAATTCCAAAATGTTTCAAAATGTTCATAGTTTAGAGGCATGTCAGGAGAACTACTAGATAGTGGATTTCAAAGCCAGCCTGGACTTCAGAGTAAGACCCTGTAATAACAATATGCCCCACTCTAAAAAAAACCCTCAAAAGTTAATATTTGAAACATTTAATATATATAAGTAACTGACACTGTGTGGTTTAGCTCTATTTCTAATTTTGTTCAGTCATAAAACCTTTTAGATTCCTAATTTGAACTGTTCATCTGACATTTGGAGTCTGCTCTGCAAATCAAACTATCTATACTCTTTTATTGAGAATTTAATTTTATGTCAGAGTAAACAAGGCTGATTTATAAAATCTTCCCACCTGCCTGCCTACATTTTATTTTATTTTTTAAAAAATCAGTTTGGCAAATACTATTTCATCAAATTAATGCTAAATACTGGAAAGGCTTTTGAATGTTCTTCTTTACTACTTTATCCTATGTGAGTATTCAACCAATAATGGAAAATTCAATCTTTTAAATTCTATTACTTATTCACCATTTTGATACTCATTTGTGGAAATAACATTGTGCAATATGCCCTGTGGCAGTGCACTCGGGAAACAATATAAGAGACAAACAGGCACTTCTATGAAGGACTCTAGTACAATTATGATGAGAAACTGAAATAATGATTTGGAACAAGGACCAGGCAAGGTATATACAAATGATTATACATAAGATATAGGCATACTCAAGATTTATTCTCTAGGAAGACTTTACAAAGGCTTTTGATCCAAAAATGAAAAAGTGTACAAATAAATGGACAAATAGTCTGGCAATCAAAAAGTTGACAGATTGTCAGAATAAAAACGCATTACAAAAATTAGTTTTCAGGGATCTTTGTGTCAGAAGGGGCAAAAGTATTTTAAGGGCCAGAGGGATAGGGAATTCACTGTGAAGTTGCATCTCCTAGAAATGTCAAAAGTGACACCAATCAAGTCTCCCACCACTACCAATATGACTGCCTAAGCAGGAGCTGAACAAATATAACAATAGACCTGATAAAGTGGGTGGGGAAAGCCTAAGAGGCCTTCATCCTACATAAAGAACTATAGGCAACTAAGGAATGCAGAGACTAGGAGATATAGTATTCCCTGATGAAGATCACACCAATTGGTTAACCAAAACCAAATGATCAGCCCTGTAGACTTATACATGTGTGTAATGTTACACAGACTGAGTAGTTTGCATTTATGTATTTAGGAATACACATACATACATACATACATACATACATACATACATACATACCAAGAGATCAAGGAGGTCAAAGAAGGATTTGGAGGAAAAGGGAAAGTGATATGACTGTAGTATAATTTCTTTCTATGTATATCTATTTCTGAATCTCTATATCTATATACACATATATAGATATATAGATATATATGTGTGTGTGTATAGAGATACATATCTATAGAGATATATAGGTATCTACTGATATAGATATATCTAGACAGATAGATCGATCTCTCTGTATATTGAAAGAGTGTGGTTCTGCTTCTTCCTCAGGATTGTCCACTGGTCCATAACGGGGGAGCAAGCCAAAGCAGGGAACAGGGTTCAGATGGCTGTGGGTATGATGGAGATAGCTCTCAGGAGATGACTTTAGTTAATCAGCTCAAACTTATTCCAGAGTAGAGGAAATATATAGAATTGGGAAGCCTGAGGACAAACCCTAATTTGCATTAAGTGGCATGTTCCTATCATAAGGCTGGGTTAGTGGCAGCAGGGTTCTATAGCAAAGCTTGTAGTGTTAGTCTTAGTTACCATATATGCAGCAGGAAAATGTGCCAAGGGTCAGGCAAGAGACAAATCAGGCATCCAGGCTTAGACACAACTTTTAGATAAGGCCAGTCCTCAGGGCCTAGAGATGTTTTCCAGATGAGGTAAAGTAGAAAGCAGTGAGACTCACTGGGGAGGGAGTCCCGAATGTTGCTGAGCTTTGGAAAGAGCTGGTAGGCCATGATAGACAGCAACCTTTCACCATCAAGACCTCCCAACAAGAGAGAGATACAGATAGATGACAAATAGATAGATAGATAGATAGATAGATAGATAGATAGATAGATAGATAGATAGACAGATAGATGATGGATAATAGGAAGGAAGAAATAAAGGAAGGAAGACAGGAAGATAGATAGATATGAACACAGAAACAGGAGTCAGATGTGGTAGCATATGCTTGACATCCTAGCACATTAGAGAGGAGGCAGGAGACTGTCACAGATTCAAGGACAGTCTGGTCTTACCAAGTTTTAGGCCAGCCAAAGCTACACAGTTAAACCCTATCTTTAAAAGGCCTCTAAATAATAGAACAAAATTGAGTTCAATATTTCAAAGGGTTTCAGTTTTAAGATCCAGCTTCCAATAGGTAAGAATTTTAGCAAAACAGGTATTTCTTGTATTATGTTGGAGTGAAAAACTTCTAAAATGAGTAACAGTTTATGATAGAGACCAAGATAGGACTCATCTAGAAAAAAGTGATGAAATTTGGGGAAGAGGTAATCAAAGGGTAAAGGATGCTGAACATGTCACTTTTGAAGGCACCAAAGTCATCCAGGAATGGTAAGAAATGAAAAGAATAGAGAAGAAATAGGAAATAAATGTGAATCTCTTCAGTGGCTAAAGAAACATGCTAAAGACAGATAAGATTAAAAACAAAGAAACAAAACGGATAATTAGTAAAAGTCTTTTTCTAGTTCTATTTTTTTCACTTTGGAAATAATTTGCTGTATAAAATATTTAACAAACAGAGAAATAGTCCTGCTAACTTTGCCTACTACATTACCCCATC